ATATACAGCCAATGCTTCTTTCTGCGTCTGAGAATATCCTCGTTCTGCCGTGTTCAATAGACGAGAGATGCAAACAATCGGACATCCGTCCTGTTCGAGTACGGCACCAACGCCAACATCCGATACGTCAGTAATCAAAGTTGGATGTTTCGTCGGAGAGAACGAGGAGAGTACTGGTCGATCAGTTATCATCTGAATGATTTCACGCAGAATTTGTTCACACTCGGCCGTCCATTTCCATTTTTCAGAATACTTAGCAGCGAACAGTGGTTGAGCTTTTGTGGCGAAGGTCGGAATGAAACGTGAGTAGTACTGGAGACATCCCATGACGGACCTGAGTTAGTGTTGGTCTCTCGGTGGTTCGGGTTCAGTCAATGGACAGAAGCGACTTGGATCAGGACGGTAGCCTTTTGCATCGACTGTGAAGCCCAATAATTCCAATTCCGGTAAATCAACAAATATTTGGAAGCGTGAATTGACACATTCTTTTGGGTGAAACGTTCCAGTAGTTTGAGAAGTCTATCGTCATGCTCGGCCTTCGTTGTACCAAACACAATGACGTCGTCCTGATATGCTGACACACCATCGAGTCCGCGAATGACTTCGTCAATAGCCGCCTGGAATATGCCTGAAGGTGTAACGTTACTCTTTTTTTCCATTTCCCCAAATTATATCCGAAATATCCTCAACATCAAAATTTTCGTTTATCTTTCTTACTGGAGGCAGATGGTTTCCCGTATGAAACTAATCACACTCATTTCGATAGTCAGGATTAAGCATAGTCAGTCCTATCATCAACTCCTGAAGTGCGGGAGAATTTCCCACCGAAATCTTTTATCGTCCAACTCGGCCACTGTTTCCTGTGGCACTGTGTACTGGAGGCCAAAGGTCCCACTGACAATACCATACATCAGCAGTAGACCGACTGAGTTCTCTTTAGAGAGCATCAATGTAGGCTCATTTAATCATAACATCGTCCGATGGGAAAAGCATCCATCGATTCAGGTCAAATGACGCGTCTAAGGCGAATAAGCTCACTATGGCTTCTACGATAGGTCATAGGGGACCACAAGTAGCTCAGAAACATTTGTTATAATTGACTAAGGTCCATCGATGAATCCTGTGGCAGCACGCTTTATTTGTTTCATTTTGGATACTTCCCAAGCCCTTGTTGAAGAATAAGCAGAATATCTGTATTTGATCCACCGATGAAAGCCTTGGTATCGTCGGAGGTGGATTTCTTGGATCGTGGTTAATCATCGTTCCCTTGCAGATAAGATATGTATACGACAAAATCATCTGACCAGTTTGATGCAATTAAAATCCAGAGTTGCCGGTACGGACTTACAACTACTCTCTGATCCAGGTATTTCAGTTTAGTGTGAGAACCTTACCAATTATCTAAACTATTGTAATGATGTGTGCTGCCCTCAAGAAAGGACTCACCTACAGCCCAACCGCTTCATCTCTGATAGACTGAAATGGTTACGTAGGCTGAAAGAAAGGACGGACCGCTTAAGAGATAAACTGACGGTCAAATCTGTCGACTTTGATATGAGAAGCGAGATAGTCCATCCGAATCAACTGCATGTTGACACCGTGCTAGGAGACAAATCCTGCCGTCAGTTATGGAACGGACTGAAGTTGCTCTGCGGTCGTTCAACTTTGCCTACTACTGTCTCATGTGACATCAATGAGCTTAACAAGTATTTTGCTTCAATGGAAAATTTTGTGCAAGCTTTACCGAGTCCAAATACGTGATTTCCACCTTCCTGTGACTGTCACAACAGAGCAAATTTTAAATGCTGTCAACATAAATAAATCCGCTGTTTCTGATGGGTTATCCGCAGTAGTCCTAAAAGTATGCGCAAACCACCTCGCACAAACCGTTTGCTTCCTCTTTAGTACATGTTACTCAGAAGGAAGACTAGTTAACACATGGTGTGATGTTCGCATCACTCCAGTATCTAAGAAAGAATGGGGTAGGTTTTGGCCTATTGCTTCATATTCAGCATTACTTCAGACTTTGAGCGAATTATTATTAAGCATCCATCCTATATTCTTGATTTCCGTAATTCCAATTCATTTTAACTTTTTTAAATCAATTTGCTTATTGTAAGCGCCGCTGTACTTTACGTGCGGTTGCTTGTCTTGTATGTTGTTTTATCCAATATATGTTACGTTAGTTGGGGTATATGTTACGCATGTCACCAAATAGGTTGCACTGGCGAGCGATGTTTACCGAGGCAGGTAATGGGTGGAATAAAGCTGTGGTCAAGCTAACACCTGGCATGAGGATATGAAAACCCTAATCAGGAGACTAGGTCACATAGGCCTCGTTAGGCTCCCTGCCTGGGGACTCCAAGATGATGTTCACCGATGATCAGAGACACTGAGTGATATGATTGGGTGCGCAAACAGTGGCGTTCCACTCACTATTATCCTAACACCGCTCTATATGAATT